ACTGGCAGTTGGCAACCTATTTAATTGGAGCAAGAAGTTGTACTTCCCTCTAGTGGAAGAGAATGTAATTGTTCTGCCTGTTCGCTTGGGGCAGGGTTGTCCAACTCCAGGCCTCGAGGGCCGGTGTCCTGCAGGTTTTAGATGTGTCCTTGATCCAACACAGCTAATTTAAATGGCTAAGTAACCTCCTCAACATGTCCTGAAGTTCTCCAGAGACCTGGTAATGAACTAATCATTTGATTCAGGGGTGTTGACCCAGGGTGAGATCTAAAATATGGTAGAGTACCAATCAGGTGAAACCGGATAATCTTTCTCACGACACACATATGTGCCATGGCACAGTGGATGGAAAACACTGGTATAGACAACAAACACTTATTTGGGTATCAGAAAAGAAGGTGGTTTAGGTCTTAGACAATTTGAAAACCTTTGCCCTTGGCGTTCAACCTGTTTTTAAATCTCTTCACAGCACTGAATCTGTGCTGCTGAAGATTTTTTTAATGATATTTCCGTGGCTACAGATTCAGGGGAGTATCCTCACTCCTGAGGAGTGGTTCGGATTTTTCCTGGCTCAGAAACCTTTTTCTGTTACTCTAAACAATTTCAGATCATCCTCTGTTCTCCATTGTTCTGTGGGGATTTTGTTGTCCCTCCTGAATGGCCATATTCCTCACCCTATCATTAAAGGAGAGCCACATTTCAGAGGAGACTCATTTCTGCCACCTGACAGGCTGAGGAGGCCTCTCTCAGAATGCTGTTAAACTTCACCTGGAGGTGGAAATGGAAAATCCCATGGGCCAGGGCTTTATGCACATGCTTCCAGGACACTCTTACTGTATGTTTGGGCACACCAGTCTTGTTCAAAACATAGATCTAGTAATAATTACACAATTGATCATCACCCTGCAATCTAAGGTGTACTAGTGTCAAGTGCACTTATAAACAACAGTATGCTTGAACACAGTGTTACTTATGAACAAACTGGTTGGAACAGATCAGGATCCTACCAGTTAAACAACAGTTCCTTGGATTACTGTGACAAACAAACCCCTCCATCATAAGGTGGCAATTCATGGATGACATAGTCCAAAAAAAGAGAAAATATCAAGTGGGTACCAGTT